TTTGCTTTCCACCGCGCAGCCGTCGGCGGCGGCGCCGTCGGGCGGGCGCGGGTCCCGTTGCTCTCCGCTGCGCGCCGCTGCGAGGCCCAGGCCCACTGGCCTCGTTCGCCGTCCCGTTACCCGCCGCCGCCCGCCCTTCGCTCATCCAACGAGACGACAGTGGCGGAGGTGCCTGGGCATGGATTAGTTCCCTTTTGAGTCGTTTTCTTATTTTTGTATTACGAATCTTGCTGTTGGTAGGAATGTTATCTTTTACGTCTTTCCTATCCTAAGGATGGTAATTGACGATAGGAGTTGGCAGTTCGTTCGCCATTTCTAGAGTGCGTTTAGTTATTTCTTCTGGTTTCAGTGCCTCACTTGCACTGCTTTCTTTAAATGCGTTAGTTGTCGATTGTACACAATTTGTACTTGCCACTTGTTTACATAAACATAAAAAACTATTCTTATAACGCACCTGATAAACTCGCCAACTTTCACGTTGTTGAGACGACACTTTTTTTTTTCATACTAAAATAAGTCATATGTCAGGACTTATTTCTTTTCTTGTATGCACTCCTTTCGTATATTGTGCTTTTCATTGTGATAGTTCTAACGACAGTATATGCCGCTGCTCTATTTGCTTGGAGAAGCAAACTGCTGATTTTGACAGTTGCACTTGTGATCTGCTAGCCTTCTCTGGATTGTTGAACTCAATTTACATTCCTTTTCACATTTTACATTCCCGCACTTTGTATCAAAAATGAATTGTTTCAGACACCGTTGAGTGAACTTCGTACAGCCTTAGAAAAAGCCCAATGTACATAAACAAAGCAGCGTAGAATCCCTTTTGCGTACCGCGCAAGGTCGCTTATCTAATTGACCGGTTGCTCCAGACTCGTCCTTCAAAGACACGTGTCTCCGACCTGTCAGAATCATGCGCATGTGATAAGTACATAGCGCTGATTTGCAGCTCCGCATGGGAGTGTTTGGGAGTCAACCGCTGGTCCAAACCAGTAAAGATTTCTGCACTGCTGTTAATTGAGGCCTTTGTCTTCGACTGGAAGAGGGCGTATTGCATTACAGGGGTCGAATTCAGGATACTGCAATAGTCATCCTCTCTAAATACCGTATTGCATTTTCAAACTTACGAAAGAAGAAATTTCGGTTGTTTTTATTTTTTTTAAATTTTAATCAACTATATCCAGTTTGGGGACGTGGTATGCAACCTCCCACAAACTGAAGCAATAATGTATTTTCAATACATTCGTTTGTTTACTTTGTGATTACTCTTGGGCTGAACAGGACATTAAGCTCACTATAGTTTCTTACATCCCATCGCTGTGTCTGGAACGTCTGCAAACAATTTCTGCTGCCCAGTGCCTTTCTTAAAGAATCTGAGGTCCAGGACTCCCCGACAAGCCCACTGAACCGGACAGTACTGTTGTGTTATAACGTTTGTTGCGTATGTCCTCGTACCGCACGTATAAAAGATATTTATCTTTATATCGTTTCGGATTGAATAATACATGGTGGTTCATATAATGCCTTTGAATGATCTTTAATGGAAACTGCGTACTTCAATCTGCTATTTACAATGCCTTCTGAATGCTTTCTCGTGCGCTTTACCTTGGCGTGATTCGACGTTTTTTTCACGGCGGCGTTTCTGTTAAGGCGGGTCATATTCCGCTCTCCGTGGGAGAGCGAGCATCGAGTGGGCGGGCAGTGGGGTTGGCGCAGAGTGCACTTCGTATGCAACGCGGAGCCGCAGTGCGCTGGAAATAGCCCGGCGCGCCGCCCGCGCCGCACGCGCAGGAAGCTCGGAAATACGCGACCTACTTTCCAGTGTCGCCGCTGCGCTCAACCCAATGGCGCTCGCGAGGCGCCACGTGGTAGACAGACATGGGCCGCACACTATAGTGGCACGTCTACGCGAGTTTTGTACACGAAATCTACATGACTTTGTACGTGTAGACTACGTAGACAATGTAATCTGTGTAGACTGTTTTTCACATCAAATCGAAGTGCGTAATAAGCAGTGATAGTAGATGCATGTTGAAATGTAATATTACAAATTTTATTTTCGATTCAATACGTCAAACAAAATCTATCACCCTTGATGAAGAAATGACTACCTCCGTAAATGTCTCAAGCAACCAGTAGCAGCTTGTTTCAACTTGCGCATCAGACTACTCTGTATTCGACTCTTTCCACAAACGTCACCGCAAACGTCACGTGATAGTTTTTCACAAGGGCAAAAAGGAAATTCCCGTCATGATTGTCATAAATGAATATTTTTGAAACGAACCAATGTTAACTTGAAATTTAAAAACTATTTATCCATAATGGCAGTACTCCTTTGGATGTGAACCAATCAATTTGTAGTATTCCTTTGGATGAATTGTGTATAATTGTAAATAAATGTTGTCTTCGAGGAATAAAGGTCGAGGCTCGACCCTCGTCGATCCGCCCCTGTGCCCAAAATAGGTAGATTACCGTTGCCTGCGCGTTGTTTACGGATAGAGGTCGCGTGTGGTGGTCTCCGCGTAGACGTGCATGCGGCGAGGAGGTGCTTGCGTAGCTATCAGCGCGATAAGGAAGTAGCGGAATCATGAGCAAGCTCGCTAACTGTTGTTTATCTACGCGTGTTCTTACGAGGAACAGGTCAAGACCCACGGCCCCGCCCCGCCCCGCAACCGCTATCGGCGAACGCTAGACGCGGGATGGACGAGTGACCCGTTCGGAGCGTAGGCATTTGAATGAGCCTGCTGTGGCTTCCTCGTAAAGCAGAACGACAGATCGAGAATGGTCTTTGAAAACAGTGCTTTATTTTAAGCTATCAAATAATCGTTAGGATTCTGATTTACCAATGAAGAAATGAAAGGAAGAATTAATTAGTATCTCGAGCTTAATTAACCACATGTCAGTTTAATTGCTGTAACTTCATGATAACCTTTGTGTCTGAAATGCAATGTCTCTCTTTTGATTATGTTGGAGTATTTTTTGCAGACTAATGATTTCCACTGAGCGCACGTGGTCGGCCCAAGGCCACGGGTAGAATTTCGCATATTTCATTGATTTTTCTCTTCGCTGGACAAATGAAGAACTGTTGCTTAGTGTTATCACCCTTCAATTCTTTTTAGTTGCTTCCCGTCCAGGGTATACTAAATACAGTGCAAAAGCCCTTAATCTGGTGATGAGATACGATTGACATCTTAACCTTCAGAACAATCTGGAGAGTTCCAACCAACTTCGTGTTGCATTGCTCATCTCATCTTTTGTTTTTCAGCAACAAATATTCAAATAATACATAAATAAAATTTAAAGCGAAACCATTCTTCTGATTTCCTGATATCCAAAATAATGGTAGAAATTTTGTATTGCTTGAAGACCTTACTGGGGTTAATATGTTCGTTTAATTTTTAGTGAGAATGTTTGAACTTACTAACTCGAGGTTAGTAATATAAATAATAATAATAATAATAATAATAATTTATAATTATTAATAATAATAAAAAAAGCTCGCGAGCCATCTATCATCGTGCATGGCAGGTTCGTGTTTTAGACTTTTGAGTTGCCATTATTTTTTTAGTTTCAAATGTTTTATCCTTTAAGTAAAAAATGTGCGTTTTACATCTGGAGATGCACCCCCCCCCGTGGTCCAGGATTATTGTGCCCCGGCGCGGCGGAGCAGTGTGGCACCGGCCGCGTGCGCGCACCCCTTAAAGCGGAGCGCACCCGCCGGTGCTCGCCGCTGGTGCCGTGGTGCGGCCGCGAAGGGTGCCGAGCAATTGCTCCGACTGAAAAATCTCGCATTGGTTCCTTTAATTGCACTCGATGGATGTCAACAGTTCTTCGGTTTTGCATTCCTAATGTACGGGAACAGGACTTAGAAACGTTTTGGTCAAGAAAAATTAATATGAATGACAATATAGTATTTCTAAGACTCTCAGGGTACTTAATTTTTCGACTAAGCTTTCCTAATAAATAGTTTCATGAAATTAACTCCGTAACTGATACAGTGATATTAAAACATCGCATGTCTGTAATGGGATGTTAAAGTTGGTAAAAAGTGAACTTATGTAACCCTTGTGATTGGTGCAGTCCATAGAAGTATTGCGTAATAGCTACACGTAAATTCAAGTTCATTTAAAGGACACAGTTTAAATTCTCTACCGAGAAAAATGGTTCGAACTTATCTCGATCTCATTGATTAAATCCTGTTCTGTGAGCTGCGCGTGTGGGGTGAATACCTGATGTCATACCTTCCTGTATTCTACGAATAAAAAAAACAATTACAATGAATTAACGACAGTGAATAGTGATTCTTTCTATTGTTTACGATACTTAATTCCGCATCGCCAACTAACAACGTATGTCCTAAAGATTACAAAATCTGTTTGTAGGAGTATTTTAGTTCACAGATGACGAAATATCGATTAGAAGGATAATTCATACATTTTCGGACAGATAGTAAGACCAGAGTATGGGAAATTGAAATTGCCAAAAATATGGAGTTACCAATCCACACGCCCTTCACAGCGGCTATAAAGTCAGTTGTGCTCGAAGAAATGTAGATTGTAATCCCATACAAGAAATGGTTTTTCGTTATGAGATAATGGCATGAAGGCAGAGATATGGCCAGTACTTTCCCATGTGCCACTTATTGTTACTATTAAATTGAAATGTTACAATATTTTAATCTTTACAGCTCAAGAATCATTTTGAATTATTTACAATTTCTCTAAGAATTTGTTACGTAATCTTAGGAAACGTCATTGCTTCAAGAATCGTTCACAGAAAACAAAATGTGGATGAAATTGAAAGAAATAATTAAAGGTTTCCGCAGTGTTAGTGTTGTTCTATTGTGCAAATCTTCGTTATCTTTGAACGTATAGATGTTGCACCTGTTGGGTGCATTGCAGTAAATATAAAGGTGTGGTGTGCTTGTTACCTTTGGCGGCGCTGCGATGCGATGCGGGGCGAGGCTGGTGTGCTGAAGGCCGTGCGTGTGTCTGTTGCAGATGGGTGTGTGAAGACGTGCCCGAGCTCAAGCTGCCGATGGAGAACAACATCCTGTGCGACTACGACACGCGCAGGTGAGTGCCGCGCAGGGCCATTGCAGCCAAGGCCCCGTGCCCAGGCGACTTCTGGGTGGGCGGGAACAGACCTTTCGGGCAGGAGTCCCTCAGGGTTGCTTCCTACGCGACACATCTTCACTCTCGGTCATTGGTGGTCACATATCGTGTGGTGAAAATACGCATCTCACATTAAAGCCCCAGCTTTAATATACACGTAATTTAATGTCACAACAGTAATGTGTTTTTCTAAAAGAAAAAGAATTTTAAAAAAAATAGGGAGCCACTTCCTAATTTATTTCTCGTGGTGCATTATAAATTGACAAGTTTGGACTGGGGTATGGATAATTTCACTTGCAATATTTTGACAGTATATTTTAAAATATGAATGCTCTTAATTCCATCTTTCATGCTTTCTAGTGATCTGTTCAGCGTTTTTTAGATATGATTCGTATTTCTAGTTAACGCCAATGGAGGATTTATGAGGAATCTTCTCAACAAATATTGTTCAAGTATTATTCTAATGGGAGAATTATCCATTGACTTAAAGGGAATGTATTATGAGAGGTTATGTTGGTCAATAAAATTGTGAGGGACGTCATTTGAATTTGAGAGAATCATTTTTTGTGGTTATTGGAAAGCTCGAGCTTGCTAAGCGGATCGACCTATTCCTGTACCCCGCGTCAGACGCTCTTTCGTAAGGTCCTCGGGGGGCTGTAGAGGGTAATTGTGATCAAAAACGAAGTTTGAAGGACAGAATTGCTCAACTCCCATAATGGTCTTGCAATTTGACACGGAGTAAGATTAAACAACTCAGCGCGTGAACGTTGCGTGTGGGGTACTTTGGAAAGGGGAGACCAAAAGCATCAAAGAAATCAGGGGTTAACGTAGTGTATGCAATTTTGTTACACTGGAGTCGTATTGATCTATTTGCTTGAATCCATTTTTCTTGGTTATAGAGTGCTGGCGCACTGCTATTAACCTGTACATATTCTCAAAGAACATGCTTTCATTAATTTGGGTTGGTAACGAAGGATAGTTGTGTCGTTCCGTGTATAAATACCTTTATTACAGTTGTATAAGCCACCACTGCTCTTAATTTTTTGTTTGTTTCTCTTCCAGCTATGAAAGCATGAAAAATCTATGTGACAGATTTAACCGGGCGATAGACCAGATTGTCCAGTTGGTGAGTTTTAGCGTTCTTTTCTGATTTTTGCTAGCCGGGCTTTTGGTGTACGCTAATCGGGTTCGCGAACCGGGGTTCGGGTCCCCTTGTTATAGCAGCAAGTGGGCATATGCACGCTTGTAGTGGGCCCCTGCCGAAAAAGTTGGCTTTGCACAACACAGCTTTTCCCCAAAACTCTTTCAAACATTTTCTGGAGAAAAATAATTGAAAACGTTCGCATTGTAATGTCGCATGGCGAACGAATACTGCGTGGATCGTAAAGTAGTACAACGTATCCTTCCATTGCCAGATACTATTTGACGCAATTTGCATGTTGAATTACCTGTGGACATTGTCGTATAAATGCTGGATTAAAATCTGATATTTTCGTTGATTACATTAATGATCAATATTTTCACAAGTTCAGGAACACGCGACCTTTTTGCAGCTTTCACGCAATGAGTTTCCAGTGTTTGATCATTGAATGTGTCTCACATTAATACATTCGATATAAAATGCAGCACAATGCACTGGAGCAATTACACAAAGGACATGTGAATGTATTTGGTATTTTGGGTCGATTGTCTGACCTCATGCCTGGGCCTACTTTGTTCCCCACGTGTAACAACGTATCTTAAGTGGGATCTTCAATGAACTCCTGGCAAAAAACTTGATCCACCTCTTCAAGAAACTGGCTTTACACAACACAGCCTGCGTGAACAGTTGTTTTACGGGATGCTTTGATCGCACTTACAAAATCAAAGTAGGGATTGAATTAACGCAAGGAATCGTGGGAATCGTAGGCCGGGCTGGACACAACTTACGGTCTACCTCTTGGCCTCTACCTCTAGGTGGGTATAGATGTAGTGTTGTTTTGTTTAAATTCCCACAATTTGGTTTTTGCGAGGAATTCCTCCTGGACAACAGGAAAAAATATGCGATGTTTGCATAAGGTTGGAGACATTGATTAAATTAATTGTAAAGTCAAAGAGAGCTTTTACTATTCTAAAGTAATGTGAATCCCACTGATTTATTCGTTGAATGTAATGAAGTAATTCGTTGGTAATTTGTTGAATACTAACCAAGAAAAACTTTATTTTCCATCTCTTCCAACAAATGTCGGGTTTCTTATTTGTTTCCATTTACCCCTGCATCTTCTTTACAAACTGCTTTTTATCATTTCATTTTATAAAATAACTCCTTAGTTTGGACACTACATTGTTCCCAATTGAAGGGTGAACTTTACTTCTAGTGACGAAAAATGTAAAAGTAAAGAAAAGCGTTGCAATGTCCTGGTCTTCATTAAAGGATACTTGTGATGGATGCAATGTTGAAAATGCTGTTTTTTAAGCATCGGGAGGGTAGGGTAGGTAAGGTAAGTGTCCCGACTGGTTCTCGACGGCCTTGTCGTTGAATTGAGTATCACCTGAGAGGGAGGCGTGTCCATTTGTCTCGGTCGCCTGCGCCAGCCGCCCGGGCAGCGCGTTTCGCCTCCGCCCCCAGCGCAGTCCGCTCCCAGCCAGACACGACTTTCGCTTCCAGAGGCCCACCGCCTCGTCCTACCACCTTGTTCACTAGGGCCGCTTCCAAATAAGGAACTCAATATGGTATTAAACATTTCTTAACATTTAATTTTCTTGCCCATTCTAATTGCTCCATGTACTGAAGATGCTGATCCTTGCGTACTCGCTACTACGTTCCGGCACCTGGCAGATATCAGCTGGCGACATCCAGTGGTTTCATCCAGTCGGGAGCGTACATGTTGCTACAGTGACGTAGCTTCTGATTGAATGTAACCGTCGATAGCTGATTTACTTCAAACCCACGGTTAAATAAAAATAAATCCACGTATACTCACTACTTTTTTCCATATCCATTCATGGATTCTAATTTTCGACATTATCCCAGACATATAAACCTAATTCGTGTTCGTGACTTCAAGTAGATGCACTGTTTTGGTAATCTCAAGGTTTGCAACATTACGCTTTATCTGCAGTTCGTTCAAAGATGCGATCGATGTTATCTCACGGTAAAACCATCCAAGATGATTCTACATCAAATATCAGCGATATCTTATCTCGCAGGAAAATTATTTTGAAACGTTCTTGATCGAGAGCTTGATATGTATACGTTTCTGCGCCACTGTGTCGTATCTCTGAGGCAGCGTTTCTCAACTTACCGACCTCGATATACTCTTGACTTCGTCGGCACCGCTGTTTTGACATTTTAAGAGCTCTGAAACACCTCCAAAATCAGTGTGACCCTACTGTGTGTCATGAAGACGAAGTTCCAGCCTTAAAGAACAAATATCGTGCGTTACTGTGTACTGCCAAGCAAAACGTACTAGTACTACGTTATAATACGTACGTAACTACGTACTAATTTTAGTGGTTATTATTATAAGCATGCGACAGAAAGCAGCCCCGCCGGTAAAGTTGACCTTTCCGATTCTTCAACTTTTTGTAAGATTCTTCTGCAGTCTTGATTCGTGGCAATTATCGATAGTCATTTGTATTTCTTCCTTTTTGACTCAGTGTATAGGCGCGGCGTTTAAAGTTTTGTTAAACCTAGTGAATCATTTAACCCAATTGAAATATTTATTTTTTAATACATCTTTACTATTCGTTGTACTTTGAATATTGCCGAACGCCAGTTGAAAATCATTGCTTTAAGATAATCGCCTCCCCCTCCCACTTGCGTAGTATTTTGAATCGTTGGTACGTTGGTAGAGAACGTAGAATAGAATTTTTGACGTATATTTGGCGTATGCTACTCATGCCACTTTTTTTCATGTGTACGGCCTGCTAAAACGAAACCCAATTCCGCCATTGGCGTCCGAGCTCCGATAATGCAATGGTGGCCGTCGCGTTGTTTCCGGCGCCGCAGCTCGCTGCTTTCCCTCTCCGGTTGCGCCCGTCCGTTTCGCGGCGCCGCCGCCGACGCGTGCGGCGCGAACGCTATATTTAGCGGGAGAGAAAGCTGCGCGTGCCGTATTCTTAGCCCCGATGCCTCGCGTCGCCCACCCGCCCTCTGCGGCCGTCCCGCAGACACAAAGACGCGGTGTCGGTGAGGCCAATGGAAAGAACGTCCTCGCAAAGGAGTTTAAAAGGCCAGTTCGGGAGTTACGTAACAGAAGACTTTAAATGAGAACGAACGCCACAGCGTCCACTTTTTAAAATTTGACGTGAGAGAATTTTTAGGACTTAGGTCGTTAATCTGAAGTTAGGCCCTAACAAATGATACGGCACATTTATCTCAGGAACACCAGTTTCCCAGAGGCTAGTTAAGATGAATACCATTTTCTTTCACTTTCCACTACCTGCGTGTTATAACCTGAAAATATAGTTGAAGTCAGTTATTCGGTGTTCTTGGCATCCTTACGTGTATCGCAAAAGTCATTCATTACCTGTCCCAGAAAGTCCTCTCGACGTGGATTCCATTTGCTACCAAACCGACAACTACAACTTATGGATGTGATATGATACAAGAAATTGAAAGTGCGGAAAGAAGAGTTCGAAGGACAAGATTTTTGTTCCTGTGTGGCGAGTTCAACTTTCGGCTCGGCATTGTGAAGACGCATTGATGGAGACGGACTAAACCTGGGCCGAGTGGCTTCCTTTCTTAGCCTGCGTTTGCCTTGGATGAAGGTGGGAGTTTCTCCCCTGCATTCCAATTGGCGGTGACGCAATCGCGCGTTTGGTGAGCGCTGCGTCTGGCCGGGGGCGGGGCGGGGCGGCGCGGCGCGGCGCGGCGCGGGGGACAGCCTCAATGGGTCCGCCAGTCGGTCCTAAGCATTCCTCAGCGGAGCGGAGCCGAGGCGAGGCGAGGCGAGCTGAGCCGAACTGGACGGGCCGGCCTGCCGGTTCGAAAGGCCGCCGACCACTCTCAGCCGCGTCAGTGGTTCGCATCAACCTGCCACCACTTCGCTATTCCGACAGGTTTCTGCAGTACTTTTGCCTTGCCTGCTAGCACCAGCCACTCGTATTTACCTTGTCATTTTTTCTCGAAATCGTTAGCACACGGAACATCTAAAACTTTAGGTAGAAACAATGTGGTTTTTGTCTCGTATCTAAGCCATTAATCTTCTGTGGTAGAAAAAATTGCGACAAAACGCGGTGTACTCATAATGATGAACCTATCATAGACCCCTGCAACAAATCACTGATAGGCGTTTCACATTTTACCTTGTTCCTAGAGAACGATGATTTCGATTGTCGCAGTCGTAACTAAACACTCCGTAATGCTGTGCTGCCCTGAAATTGGCGCGGAGTCCCCGAGGTGTCCAAATAGCACTTGCGGCGGTCGTCCCCGGGCCTGGACCCTCGCAGCGCCGGCGGCATCCTGTTGCGAGCGCGCGCCGCTGGAATGCAGAACACTCGGGTTCGAGGTCGCGCTCCGGGCTCGCCGGCCCGGACCCACGCCGCCGCCCTCCCGGATCCGGAAGCGGGCGCCGCCGCCTTCGCATGGCGGATTTGGGCGTGTGAATGGGAGGGGGCGGGCCGCGTTTATCCCTGGTCTGCATCGACCCGCGCGCCCGGATGTCGGGGAATGTCGTGCGCGGCCCAAGGCGAGGCGCGGCGCGGGGCAAAGAATCGATGCGGCGGTGGCCGCGTCCCCTTGGCCGCCAGCGGAGGCTGGTCCGGGCCTCACTTCGCCCCGGACGGGGGCGCCTGCGCAGGCGCGGCTTGCTGGCAACCCAAGGGGGGAATCTTGCCTGATGGAGTTAAAAATAAGTTTTCAGCAATTTCAAACATAAAATAATGAATATTCCCTAAATATCTTTTCGTATCCTCGTATTGCTATTTTACCTTAATTTTCCTTCACTTCACTCACGTAGTTTAAAAATGGTTATATTCATTTGTAGAATAACATTTTTTCGTGTTAATTACAAATTATGGATAATGATTCTCTTCTGCTTTGTTGCATTCGTTTCACAAATTAGTAATATATTGATGATAAGAGAAATGTTTAAATTATTATTCCTGCGTTTATCATAGTCCGTGGTTCAGCGCTGTCTCGAA